GGAGACTCTAAAGGGTTTGGCAATGGACGTTAGACTTTTGAAAGTGTGAAGGACCAGTTAGAAGGATGTGTAGAAGTCCGGGTGAGAGGTCATGTGAGCCTAAGAGGAGCAGGAATGGAAAAATAGGGACAATTTTGAAAATTAAAAAAGGAGGCAAAATTAGTATCTATAAGCACAGATTATTGACTTATAAAAGATGAGGAAAAGGGAAAAACCCAGGATCCCAGGAAAATAGCGGTACCAATAAGAGATTATCAAATCAACAGGATAGCCTTACAGGATCTGGTTTTGAATATTTTGAATTGTAACAACCCATGGAATATCAAGGTAATGTTGTGGTAGGAAAATCAATAAGTGTGGCTAGAGTTCTTAGCACAAAATTTAAGATTATTAAAAGGGGTTCAAATCTTGGCACTGCCTCATCCTAGCTGGGTGATGGTGAAAACACTGATTTTTCTAAGCTGGAAGTAAGTATAACAATGTGGTGTGATGGATAAGAAGCTGCACCACCAACTCAAAGGCAGATAGTTTGAATTCACCAGCTGCTCCTCATGAGAAAGATAGGAAATCTCCTTTTACATGATTTACAGCCTCTGAAAAACCGTTGGAGAGTCAGCCGTGAGTCAGTTCTAATGTAAAAGCAGTGAGTATGAGATTTTTGAATGTTACTGTTAGCTGCTGTCAATTGAACTCTAACTCATAGATAACTCCATGTACAACAGATCAAATATTGTTCAAATCTGCAGTATCATCACTTTATTATAAGCACTGCTTTTATCTTAATGATGATAAGGATGATTTTAAAGAATGTATGAATTAATGAATGTCAGAACTTTCATACAATGCTTGGAACTTTCATACAATGCAGCAAGTTATTAATAAAGCTTGTTGTTGTTGTTCAGAGACAGAATAAGAACAGACCAATATGGATGTCAGAAGAGACTCTGAATATTGTGTTAGAGTGCTGAGAAGCCAAAGCAGAGGGAAGAAATCAAGAAATTAAGGAGCTGAATAGAAAATTTCAAAAGGCAGCATGGGAAGACAACGCGAAGTATTATAATGAAAAGTGCAAAGAACTGGAGTCCGAAAATCAAAAGGGCCATACTCACTGGGCGTTTCTTAAGCTAAATGAACTGAAGAACAAATTGAAGCCTTGAGTCATAATACTTAAGGATGCTATCAGCAGAATATTGAATGATCCAGGAAGTATTAAAAGAAGATGGAAGGAGTATACAGAGTCACTGTACTAAAAAAGGATTGGCTGACACAGAAGAATTTCAAGAAATAACATATGATCAAGAAGCAATGATGTTGAAGGAGGAAGCTCAGGCTGCCCTGAAGAACTTGACAAAAAAATAAAACCCCATGAATTGGTGGAATACCAGCTGATGCATTTCAACAAACATATGCTGCCCTGGAATTGCTCATCAGGTTGTACCAATTAAACTAGAGGACAACTACCTGGCTGATTGGAAGAGATCCATATTTATTCCAATAAATCTTATTTAAGAAATCTGGAAGGAACGCTGGTGTTATAGTGTGTCATGTGTTGCATTGATAACTGAAAGATTAGTGGTTTGAATCCACAAACAGCTCCACAGGAGAATGAAGGGCTCTAAAGATTTACAGCCTCAGAAACTCAGTGGAAGATCACCCTGAGGTAGGATTGACTGGATGGCAGGGCAGTAGGTAAATGGATTAGTTAGAGCTATAGGAGGTACCTGACTGAGGTATTTAATAGCTCAACTGCTAACTGAAAGGTCCAGGTCAGTGGTTTGAACCTATCAGCTGCTCCACAAGAGAAAAGTATCTATTGTCATAGACATTTACAGCTTTAGAAATCCTGTTGGACAGACAATCCAACTCTATCCTTAGGGTTGTTATAAGTCAGAATCCACCTGAAGGCAATGAATTTGGCTTGGTTTGGGGTTGGAGCTGTGGAGGGGTGGATGCTATCACTGCAAGGAACAGATGGGAGGGAAGGGTGGTGAAAGAGAACTTAGAGAAAGGAAGGTTGGAGGCTGCCAGCATCAAAGAGGTTAGAGCTAGGACAATGGATGCATGTACTCTCAGCTGGGTGAGGTGCAGTAAAAATCCAGAAAACTACTCCAGCTACCAGAAATGAATTTAAAGGCCTTAACATTCTTTACTTGCTTTCCTTAACTCTACAAAGAAAATGTATGGGACTCAGTCATATTTTCTGAAATTGTCTTTCTCTTACATTAACTTCTCTCTATTCTCCCTCTGCAAATCTTCCTCTGTTTCTCTTTCTTTCCTTCTGTGACACACTTCCACAAAAGAAAACACCACTGACAATAAAAAAATATCTTCTCCACCCCAGCTCTGCTCACTTTTCTTCTTTCTCCTTCTTCCCTTTTTGTGTTATGTGCTGGTAAGTGAGAAATGATTCATAGCCGACCCTTCAGTGTTTTTTAGAGACTGTAAATCAATCACAAAGAAAATGATCCATCTTTTCTCCATGGTAGAGCTGATGGATTTGAACTGAGTACCTTTGGGTTAGCAGGACAACTACTTATCATTAGACCATCAGAGCTCTCTTTCAAAGAAGGGATGTTGTTGTTACATGCTGCCGAGTCACCTGTAACTCATAGAGACCTTGTGTAGATCAGCCCTAAACCCTGCTCTAGCCTGTGCCAATCTTACGGTTTCTGACACACCTACTCCCATTACCCCAATCAATCCATCTCATCGAGGGTTTTCCTCTCTTGCACAGTCCCTCGACCCTCCCAAGCATGATGTCCCTCTCTAAGGACTGGTCCTTCCTTGTAACATGTACAAAGTATGCCAGATGAAGCTTTACAACCCTTGCCTCCAAGGAGCAGCCTAGTCTCTCCCTCTCTGGGATGAACCTGTTTGTTCTCCTAGCAGTCATGATATATTCCATACTTTTCTCCAGCACCACAGCTCAAAATAATCAATTCTACTTCTATCATCTCTTGTCATTGTTCACCTTCCTGATGCATAGCAAGTAATTGCAAAGACTTTGGCCTGGATCAGGCACACCTTAGTCTCCAGATCAACATCTTTGCTCTTCAGTACTTTGAAGAGGTCTCTGACAGCAGACTTTCACAAGGCAATTCATCTCTTAATTTCCTGGATGCTGGTACCAAGAGTGTTGATTGTGGAGCCAAGCAAACTAAAGCTGTGAACAATCTCAATCTCTTCACCGTCTATCATGATGCTGCCAATTGGCCCAGTGATGAGAATCTTTGTTTCTTGAAGTTGAGCTTCAGTTCATATTGAAGGCTGCAGTCCTTGACCTTGAGAAGTTTATAGAATAGGAAAACTATTGCTGACTCTGAGAAGAATGGGAATCCCAAAACACTTGATCATGCTAATGTGAAACTTATACTTGAATGTGCTCACCAAGTTGTGCCAAGAAATCTGGAGAACAACCACTTGGCCAACTGACTGGAAGAGATCTATATTTGTTCCCATCCCAAAGAAGGGTGACCCAACTGAGTGTGGAAACTATAGAACAATATCATTGATTTCACATGCAAGCAAGATTCTATTGAAGATTATCCAAAAACGACTGGAACAGTACATCAACAGAGAACTGCCAGAAGTCCAGGCTGGGTTTAGAAGGGGTCATGGTACTAGGGACATTGTAGCTGATGTTAGATGGATCTTAGCTGAAAGCAGAGAATACCAGAAGAATGTCTATCTGTGTTTCATTGATTATGCAAAGGCATTTGTGTGGATCATAACAAACTGTGGCTGACTCTGAGAAGAATGGGAATCCCAGAACATTTAATCATGCTAATGTGAAACCTATACTTGGACCAAGAGGCAGTCGTCAGAACGGAGCAGGGCAACACTGCATGGTTCAAAATTGGGAAGGGTGTATGCCAGGGATGTTTCCTGTCTCCATACCTTTTCAACCTGTATGCAGAACAGATTATCCGGGAGGCGGGGCTCTATGAGGAGAAGCGTGGCATCAGGATTGGTGGAGGATCTATCAACAATCTGCATTATGCAGATGACACAACCCTGCTTGCTGAAACTGAGGAGGACCTGAAGCGCTTGCTGCTGAGGGTCAGGGACTGCAGCCTTCAATATGGATTGAGGCTCAATGTCAAGAAGACAAAGATTCTCACCACTGGACCAATTGGCAGTATCAGGATGGATGGTGAAGAGATTGAGATTGTTCACAGCTTTAGTCTGTTTGGCTCCACAGTCAACACTCTTGGCACCAGCAGCCAGGAAATTAAAAGACATATTGCCATGGGAAAGTCTGCTGTTAGGGACCTCTCTAAAGTACTGAAGAGCAACAGTGTGTCTCTGGAGACTAAGGTGTGCCTGGTACAGGCCCTGGTCTTTGCAATCACTTGTTATGCGTCAGAGAGCTGGACAATGACAAGGGAGGATTAAAGGAGAATTGATGCTTTTGAGCTTTGGTGTTGGAGAAGAGTGCTGAGGGTACCATGGACTGGTAAGAAAACAAACAGATTCATCCTGAAGAGGGTTAAACAGGGCGGCTTCCTGGAGGCAAGGATTTTGAGACTTCGTCTGACATACTTTGGTCATGTTGTAAGGAGGGACCGGCCCTTGGAGAAGGACATCATGCTTGGGAGGGTGAAGAGCAGGCACAGGAGGGGAAGGCCCTCTGGGAGGTGGATTGATTCGGTGACTGGGGCAATCGGGATGAGTGTGTTGGAGACAGTGATAGGACAGAGCAGAGTTTAGAGCTGTTGTACATAGGGACGCTATGAGTTGCAAGTGACTCGACGACACATAACAACAATTTTTTTTCTCGTCTCAAGGGTTTATTCTCACTCTTATAATACAGTTTAAAAGGAAAAAAGAGGAAGTAAATGTCCCACAAGGAAAACAGTGGAAAGTTACTCCAGGGTGTGATACTTGTGCTTCAAATGTAGCTTGTGTCTCTGACCTGAGCGCAACATCTCAGGTCCAGTTCCCCTCCCCCATGATGGTCTCTTCTCTCTGAAACCAAAGAAAGGAAATCTCAGTCTTACCTGTCAATGCTGATGGCACAGAGGTTCAGGATGCTGGCTGTACACATCATAACGTCCAGGGTGACAAAAACATCACAGCAAACACGACTGAAATTCCAGACTCCGCCTGTCACCTGAGTATCAGAGACAAGCGTATTAGTGTTTCCCCAGCAAAGAAGCAAAAATATAGTCAACTCTATGGCCTTCCCCAGGCTACCAGGTGCAGATGCTAATGACGCAGGGGTCAAGGGGCTGGCACAGAGAGTTACAAGCTGCCCATGATTGGTCACACACAGGAAGACAGATTCACTGTTAGGATGTTAGTGCTGAAAGAGATCTTCAAAAATCAATTAGTTCAGTGTTTCTCCAAGTGTGGTTCACAGTGGGGTGATTGTTAAAGATCTCTGAAGCCTTCCCTAGACCTACTGAGTCAAAAATCTCTAGACCTGTGGCTCATGAATCTTCATTTTAAAATAGACACCCCCAGCCACGCCACAGTTTGAGAATCACTGATCTAGTTCAAACTCAGGAGGCAACTAAAGCTGATCGTGGTTAAGTGATATGCCCGTAGAGGCACAGCTGGTAGTGAAAGAGCTTGGGTGACTGCCAGATGGGTGTACTGTGCCAAAAACTGCCTCTCGGAAGCCCTTCGCCCAATGGGGAGCTCGCCATGTACCCAGGAAATAAGCTGAGAGCACATGTTTCATAAAACTTACCTCCAGAATGAAAATCAATTTGGCTTCTGGCTTTAAAGCTTGGAAGCATTCTGTAACTACACCTCTAAGAATGCATATAAAAGACTTCTATGCCAATATGCCTGCCTTGGGCAGCTCTTACCAATTTATCCAACAGCAGTGAGAAAGACTGGGATCTGGAGCCTAGAAAGAGACATAGATTCTTCTCCATAGTACATCGGATTAGTGGGGATGGTCCCAACCACACACATTAACATATGTGTTCTGAACTCTGTAATTTATGCTTATCGAAAAATCAGGAAGTTTGGAAACTTAATTTATCGTCTGTTGTGATCAGCTGCCATGGGGTTTTTCAGTGACTTGTGGTGACACTGTATATCGTGCTGCCTGGTCCTGTACCATCTCCGTGATCTGTCATGGGCAGGACTGTTGAGGTCCATGTGGTTTTCACTGGCTGAATTTTGGAAGGAGACAGTCTGGCCTGTCTGTCTACCTGTCTTTGTTTAAAAGTTCTGCAGTTTCACAAATTCACAGCCATTGTGTTGATTCTGACTCATAACAACTTATTAAACAGAATAAAACGGCTCCATATGGTTTCTTGATGTTCAGCTTCAATCCATATTGAAGACTGCAGTTCTTGACTTTCAGCAACAAACGCTTCAGCTCCTCCTCAGTAACAATGAGCGAAGTTGTGTCATTGGCATAATACAAGTTGTTGACGAGTCTTCCTCCCATCCTGATGCCACATTCTTCCTCATAAAGTCCAGCCTCCTGAATCATCTGTTCTGTAAATAGACTGAAAGTATCTCTGACTCACTCCTATCCTAGTTTTTAACCATGCAGTATTTCCTTGCCCTGCCCTAGGGACTGCATCCTGGTCTGGGTATAGGTTTTTCACATGAACACAATCAAATGGCCCCTTTGGCCCCTTTCTTCTCAATATTAGCCAAATTTCTTATGAGCCACACAGTTAAATGTTTTTGCATAGTCAAAGAAACACAGAGAGACATTCCTTCAGTACTCTCTGCTTTCAGCTAAGGTCCATCAGATATTGGCTATGATGTCCCTAGTGCCACAGCCTCTTCTAAACCCACCTTGTATTTCTGGTATTTCTCTATTGACGTACTGTTCCAGTAATTTTTGGATAATCATCAGCAGGATTTTGCTTGTGTGTGACTTTAGTGACATTGTTTGATATTTTCCACATTATCAGATCTCCTTTTTTTATTTTGAATGGGAATAAATATAGATCTCTTCCAGTCAGTTGGCCAGGTAGTTTTCCCTCCATATTTCTTGGCACAACCTGGTGAGTGTATCCAGGGAAGCATCTGTTTGTTGAAATATGTCAATTGGTATTCTATTAATTCTTGGGGTCTATTTTTTGCCAGTTCTTTCAGAGAAGCTCCAAGACAGACCTGTTTGTTTTCTTGGCAGTCTATGGTATGTTCAAGACCCTTCTCCAGCACCACAACTCAAAGACATCAATTCTTCAACTATCCTTAGTCATTGCCCAGCTCTCTGATGCATAGAAAGATAATTGTGAATAGTAATTGTGAAAATCATGACTTGGATCAGGTGCATGTTAGTCTCTAGACTCAAATCATTGCTTCTCAGTACTCTGGAGAGGTCCCTGTAAACATATTTTCCCATTACAATTAATCTTTGGATTTCCTGACTGCTGGTACCAAGAGTGTTAATTGTGGAGCTGAAAAAGCTGTAATTGTTATCAACCTCAATTTCTTCTCCACCTATCATGGTCCTACCAATAGGCCTAGTGTTGAGAATCTTTGTCCTATTGATGTTGAACTTCAATCCATATTGAAGACTACAGTCCTTGACCTAGTAGCTAGCACGCCAGGTCCTCCTCAGTTTCAGCAAGCAAAATTGTGTCATATGCAAAACATAGGTTGTTGATGAGTCTTCCTCCAATCCCGATGCCACATTCCTCCTCATAAAGCCCAGCTTCCCCAATGATCTATTCTGCATATAGATTGAAAAGGCATGGAGACAGAACACATTCCTGACGCACTCCTTTCCTGATTTTTGAAACTTGCAGGGTTTTCTTGTTCTGTTCTGAGGACTTCTTCCTGGCTCAAGTATAGGTTTCACATGAGCACAATCAAGTGTTCTGGGATTCCCATTCTCGTCAAGGTTAGCCACAATGTATTGTGATCCACACAGTCAAATGCCTTTGCATAGTCAGCGAAAAACAGATATTCTTTTGGTACTCTTTGCTTTCTGCCAAGATCCATCTAACATTGGTGATATGTCTTTATTGTCATGACCTCTTCTAAACCCAGCTTGTATTTCTGGTATTTCTCTGTCAAAGTGCTGTTCCATCATTTTTGAATAATCTTCAACAAGATTTTGATTGCATGCGATATTAGAGATATTGTCTGATCATTTTTATGCTCTGTTGGGTCACATTTTTTTAAATGGGAGTAAATATGGTTTTTTTCTAGTGTCTAGTGTATCTTTTATCTTCTTGATTATAGAATTTATATATTTATTTTATTTGATTATGCTAATGAGACCAAGAGGCAAGCCGTCAGAACAGGGCAGGAAGATAGTCGTCAGAACTGCATGGTTCAAAATCAGGAAGGGTGTACGCCAGGAATGTGTCCTATCTCCATATCTTTTCAATTTAATTGGAAAACAGATCATCTGGGATACTGGGCTCTGTAAGAAGGAATGCAGAATCAGAATTGGAGGAAGACTCATCAGCAAACTGTGTTATGCAGATGACACCACCTTGCTTGCCGAAACTCAGGAGGACCTGAGACCTTTAATGTAGAAAGTCAAGGACTACAACTTGCAATATGGATTGAAGCTCAATATCAATAAAACAAAGATTCTCACCACTGGGCCAATTGGCAGCATCATGATAGACTGAGATTGTTAACAGCTTCAGTTTGATTGGTTCCACAATCAACAATTTTGGTACCAGCATTCAGGAAATCAAAAGATGAATTGCATTCAGAAAATCTGGACCTTTCCTGAGTATTGAAGAGCAATGACATCAGAAAATAAGGTGTGCCTGATCTGGGCCATGGTTTTCACAATTACTTTCTATACATCAGAAAACTGGACAATGACTAGGGAATGACTAGAGAGGACAGAAGTAGAATTGATGATTTTGAGCTGTGGTGCTGGAGAAGAGTAATGAATATACTATGAATTGCTAGGAGAATAAACAAGTTCATCCTGGAAATGGTGAAACCAGGCTGCTTCTTGGAAGCAAGGATTCTGAAGCTTTGTCTGACATACTTGGGACATGTTGCAAGGAGGGACCAGTCCTTGGAGAAGGACATCATGTTTGGGAGGGTGGAGAAAAAGCACAGGAGAGGAAGACCCTTGACAAGATGGATTGACTCAGTGACAGGGGTAATGGGGGTAAGTGTGTCAGAGACAATAATGTTGGCTCAGGATAGAGCAAGGTTTAGAGGTGTTGTACTTAAAGTTGCTATGAGTCGCAAGAGACGCGGTGGCATAGAACAACAACAAAAATAATATTTTTATTTTATTTGAAAAAAACAACAACACAGAACCAAGGAACTATGTCAGGGAATTTGTGGCTTTCCGAATGCTATTCAATGGCCTCAAGGCTTTTGTGCATTAGTCATCTCCTGCCAGTGGGGCTGCTTGTTCTTGGGGAGGATGTTTTAAGCTTTCTGCCCTTAGCTATAGCAGGGTGTTCATGAAACTCCCCCCGAGGAGGCTCAATGGCTGTTTAAGAGGTAGGGAGAGTGAAAAATGAAGCCTCTGACACAGAGTGTTAAGGGAAAAGCAGATATTATTTAAATGACTGCATGAAAATAGTACTGTTCCTCTGTGCAGATTTTTTTATCTTAGAATCCTGAGCATGGCCAGTTCACTGTTCATTTCTGCTTTATCCCACTAGACACTATCTGGAGTGTTGTTTACGTTCCCTCTTCCCTAATAACGTCTTCCCCTTTGCATTTCTTTTCAGCATCTCATTTTATCCTGATCTTTGGCACACTATTTGGAGAAATACTGACAAAAGGTATTATATTTAAAGATAACAAAACTAATGATGAAGACATTGTATAAATAAACAGACATGAATTTCTAAGACTTTGAAGGAAAAACTTTTTACAAAGAGAGATGTAGAGATTATGAGCTAAAGCCACAACAACATAATGATTTAAGGAAGCCAAGAGAATAAAAAATGGATTTGCTTGTTACATAGAACAGATGCATGCTATAAAAACTCCTTGCAAAAGTTGATTTTATATACTAAATCTCAATTTAACATCATGTCTACCATGTTACTGATGTCTTAAACTGGAGGAAAACACTTTTGTTTTTTCATAATTGTGAGTTTATGAATATATATTGAGATGGCAACAATAGCAAAATCGAATGCTTTATTTGATTATTTGTTTGTAAAGCAAGTATATGGGAAGCTCCTAATACTT